TTTATGAATTAAATAAGTCTACTGAATTGGTTTATTGAAACCTTCTAGGCTAAATTTGAAGCCATTATAGAAATTATGCAACATGAAATCCTTAAAAATCAAGGAAAACACTTAACTTCTCACGATATCCTTCAAATATTAGTGGAATATGGCCTCCTTTGGATTATGCAATGAGATTGGCACTCTATTGTAGATGATAATGATGATCTACCATCTTACTTTGCTTGAATTATTTCAGTAAAATGGTATGATCGGTAGAACATCATAAATTATCTAAGTGGAAGAAAAAATTCCTTATTTCCTGACTATGGCTTAGAGTATGGATTAAAATCTAATCCTAAGAAATAAGATATGAAGACTATGCAAGAAATTTTATATGAAGAAATTTTCGCCTACATCAAATCGGGACGTATCTGAAGAAAAATTAAGGTCACTTGTTTATGAGGAGTTACTTATGCTACTAGCCCAAGTGGACAATAGTACTAAGTCTATAACTTCAGAACCGACTGATACATCGAAACATGCTAAGGTAAAGTGTTCTTCTGCTGATCAAGATAATGCTACTATGGATATTGAAGATAACAACGAAATGATTAGTGGGCTTATATGATGATCCCTAACAATAAATATGACTAATATTAACGACTTAAAATTCAAGTTGATCATTGAAAAAAATATATTTCACCAGTTAAAGATAATAAAGCTTTGATGCAATTTTGATTCACAGATAATTACTATTAGCTATCAACAACTCCAGATGAAAAGACAATTCTAACTGAAAAGACCGTATACATTATGCTGTCAATAGTTCTTTGAATTCCTATCTTGGATACTTTTGCATAAAGAAATTTATGGCTCTATATACTTATGCTAAAAAGGATACTTTATAACCTATTTTCATGATAGGTTTTAAAAAAATTATTACTGTGGATCCTACACATCAGGACAAAACATCTAAAAATGGTGTCAAGAGAAACTTTATAAATAGATATGAATGTCATGAAGTTGATGGAGACTTTGGGAAGAAAAGAGAAAAAAAACAAGTTTCTTTTGAGTGTTTGTAAGATAAGAGTAAGCACGTAAGGTGTGTACTACTACTACTCGGATGCTGGCTAGTTCATCTCCTAACTACTAATTTGTGTAATGTGTTTCGGTATTAAGTTTGTTCTCCGTAAATATTACTACCTAGTTTGTGTTTGATTTTTATGTTCTTTTAGTAGTATTATTCTTCATTTGTTTAGCTTCCCTTGTCTATTTTCTTGCTTTCATTTTTTTGTTCCCTGATATATATATAAACGAAGAAGATATAGCTATGAAGAATATCTATATCCTCTCCTCCGTCCATACTATATTCCCCACATGCTAAAATATTATGTGTGTATATGTGTGCGCACGTGCGTGTCCGCGTATATATGCGCATATATACATATACGTACAAACACACATATATACAGATACATACATACATACACACATAAACGAAGAAGATATAGCTATGAAGAATATCTATATCCTCTCCTCCGTCCATACTATATTCCCCACATGCTAAAATATTATGTGTGTATATGTGTGCGCACGTGCGTGTCCGCGTATATATGCGCATATATACATATACGTACAAACACACATATATACAGATACATACATACAAACACACAT